ATCTTCGCAATCATCTTCAAAGCTTGCGAACATTGCTCCATGAGTTGGATGCCTCATTTCTTCATCATCAGATCCTGAAGACTAGATCTGATATGTTCCACTCTCTTCCTCATCAGACTCACCCTTTGCAACCAGTGACATTCCTTTCGCCTTCGCACGCACTTCTTCGAGCTTTTCGGAATAGTAAGCTTCATCTTTCGCTTTGTTCTTTTTCTCCTCTTTCTTTCGCAACATGCAATCTGCTGCAAAGTGATTCGCACCATTGCAGTAGTGACAATAGATTGCAGAATCACCTTTCAGTTTCTTCACATCTTTTGCATCTTTTTGCTTTTCATCAACTTTTTCCATTTTCTTCTTCTCCTCACCTCCAGCTTTAGCGACTCCACTCTTCGCATCATTTGCCTTTCCTTTGGATTAAAAGGCTTTTTGAAAAATTTCTTAACTCTATTGTTTGAGTAGAATGCTACAACTTCATCATCAGAGTTCATTAAGAAACCTTCATTGTCTGAACCATCTGTGTCATTAGTATCAACTTCAGATACCTTTGAAACAAGAGCTAAAGGACCTCATATACTTTGTTTTGATTCTTCATACATTTCTGAGACTTCACTTTCGTGTGTTTTCAGCTGATTGTAGAGATCATTCAAGCTGGTTGTATCAAAACTTTGTTGATTCTTTATCATCATACTCACACTTCGTCATTCCTTGAGAAGGCCCATGAAGAATGTTAAATTGAATTCCATGAGATGCCTAGTGATTCCATACCTATTGCAGCGATACACAAGCTCATTCAGACGATCATAGTAACTTTCAAGAGTTTTAACATCCTTTTGTCTGTATTCCTTTAGTTCAACAAGACATTGCTTCACAGAGTTGATCTTTGTTTTTTTGCTACCTTGATACTTCTCTTTCAGAGTGTTCCAGATCTCCTTGGCTGTTTTACAACTACGGATGTAATTGTAAACCACAGGAGGTAGAGCACCTCTTAGTTTTGTCATGCACCTCTTTTCATTTTTTTTTCAGACGGTTTTGTTGTTCAGCAACTTCAGCAGAAATAGTAGACGGCCCAATTGATTGAACATTAGCAGGAGCTTGAACTGTTCCATTGATACAATTCCAAAGTTCTTCATTAATTCCATTTAAGTAATCCTCCATTCTGTCAGCCCGTTGATCATAGAATTCAGGGATTAACATCGGAATTTTGGTTGAAGAACCAATCAAATGAGAGAAAGAAGTCATTGTATTCATGTTGAAGTTCGCCATTAATGAACACGAAAATTTCACAAATCTTGAAAAACTTGAAGAATTTGTGAATTAATCAACTAAAATGATCACAAATTGCTAATCGATCACTCGACTAAACAATCCAAAGGCAGAATCGATTCAAATCTGAAGATCAAAAGTGATTTTCAAAACCAAAATGCACGGAAATTTTTGAGTAAAGTTACTACTCAAAAAACAAATGATTCTAACACGAAAATTAGATCGATGCAGTTTGAATCATGCTCTGATACCAATTGAAGAGAATTGTTATCGAGATTATGAAAGCAATTATGATTGAATTATTGAAAAGTAAGAACACGAGTAAATATTAATCAGATCTTATAGTACATAAGAGCGGAACCTAGATAGAACGCGGAGCACCGGCCCCGGCCGCCGATAGAAGACTGATTACAAAGCTTTAAGCAGAAAGAATACTCGAGTTCAAAAGTACTTTCTACTTCTATCCTCAGTCCCTATTTATAGGAGACCTGAGTGTACAAAAAATATACTAAGTCTATTATAATACGCTTCGCATAAAATTTTGAATTAGTAAAATAACTAATATGCGAAACTCAAAAGAAACAACCACTTCGACTTTTACAATACATAGACTCTACAAGGTCGTGATGAAAGTGAAACCCAATTTTTTAAACTTTTTAAAGAATTGACAGGGAACTATGTTCTAGATTTTCACGAAACATTTGTGTCAGTACCAATTTTCGATGCTCTAAATCATATTTTTTTCATTATGAGTGGTCTTGATCAAATGTTCGACACCTATGACATTTGTTACCTAACAAGATCCAGCTGAGCATTATTCTTCTTTAAATATGATTTCCGTGTAAGTATCAATTCTTTCTATTGTCGGTTTCAAAATAATCCGAAGCATACTTGTCACTAAGTACACTGGTCCCACAAGTAATTCCTCTTACAATTACTCACCTTATGTTTAGGATGATATGTAACGAAAATTTTATGCCACCCACGAAGCCTTGAAAAAGAAGCCCTTCTATACTTCTTTATAAATATTTGTTTGTAATTCATGGGAAACCACACAAGCTGTTGATTATCTCTCTTGATAATTAACGAAGCAACCTTTTTCGGGGTTTAACTGCTTTTGTGTCGAAACTTTATTTTTCGACATCACAAATTCCAAATTTTTGTTAAATTGCTTCTTATCTTATTCTATTGGCAAACTGCACTCACAAAATCCTTGAGGTTCTAAGTAATACGAACTCAGGCTGATGATTTCGACAATCTGGCATATGACTTCACTTTTCATCCTAAAAGTGAAAGAGCACTACTTCCATACTGAAGGCTAGTGACAATTACTATTCTATTGGAATGTACAAACAGGCTGTTTGACAAAACTCTTTGTATTCTTTCCGGGTTTCAAGGAGATGTGATAGTTGCTTTTCCACGCATGGCTACTTTATCAGCGATAGGGTGCGATTTCCAAGGAGCCACGTCGGATCTCATTTAGTGCTAATACTGTTTCAGATTCCAATTCACAAGAGCTCTTATATCCTTTTATAGTTAGGCGTTCAAAAACACAGACGATCAAAAAGCCCTAATTATTTGTTCTTCAAAATTACTTTCAACCTTTCAACAATGGCTGATACTGAAAATACCACTATTGAAGAGGTTGTTTCACAACCGATTATGACGATTCAAAGCACTAACTATCAAGTTAAAGGATATGTCTCACTGTATCCTGAAGAACTCAAGATGCTGATTGTCGCTCTTCAACATTCAGGTGTTGCAACTGCAATGTTCAATGCTTTTGAGGTTCCGATGTCTTGGTTATGAATAGCTGGTTCCACTGCTTCTTACAACAAAGCCATTGATGTAATCACATTTAATCTGGTGAATGAAAAGAGAGTGAGACTCACGAAGAATATGCTTACTTAAATCTTGGCGATTCCAAATTCATCTCCATTCTTTTAATTTACTAGTGCTCAGATTATGTACGTGTTCAACGAGATGGGTCATTAGCCACCACTTTTCAAAATCAGTACCTTCAAGAAGTCTGGTCTTCCTTGCGTATGGAATTTCTTGTTGGGATATATCTTCATTGCTTAACTGGGCGAAGTGTAGGGCTTGACAAGGGAAGAATTAAAGCTTATGCTATGGTAGCAGGCTTGTACTATGATCTCAATGTTGATTATGCCACTCAGATTTGGAAAGAGTTTATCAAGAGCTTGGAAAACACGAATGTGGTAAAAGGAATTTCGTGTGCACGTTACTGGAGTCTGATTCTCAATCTGTTTATACGAAAGAAGGTATTCTAATTCCTGCAGATGTGGCTAAGGTAGAATTCATGAAGTATCATTTTCCAAAGACTGTTGAAGATGATTAAGATGTATTCCTAAATATTGCTCGAATTGCTGATGGGATGCTGAAGAAAGTTGCTCCAACAAATTCAATATTGGTGGTATACCTGAAACATGTTAATCCTTCAGTTGAAACTGGGGTTTTGCTGCAAAACAATGATGTTGATTCATCTAAGAAAGTTAAGAATATGCCAAATGAAGCTGATGATGTTGTTTACAAAAGCCCAAAGAAACAAGTTAATTCTAAGTCTCCTAAGATGATTACAACTGAAATTGACAAGACTGAAGAGAAGGTTGTTGCTGAATCTTCGAAGGAAGTGATATCTTCAAAATATGGTTTGTTAAAAAGGTTAAAGAAATTGTCTCATAAGAAACAAACTTCATCAGATGATCAAACTCCACTTATTCACAAAGCTCGGCTTAATAGAAAAGGAGTGAAAGTTCGTGAGATTCTTGAACCAATTTCACCTTCCACAAAGAAGCGAAGACCTACGGATATAGAAAAGCACATCACCAAGAAGAGTAATAAACAAAAGTTGGTGGTTCGTGAAAAGTCATCAGACAGTGAGATCATCCCAGATATAGCTTTGGGTTCGCATTCTCCAAAACTCTCACAACCATTAATCATCACAACTGTTTCAATGCCAACTACAACTTTTCCACTCAAAACTGCTGTAACCAAATCAGTTTCCGAGGAGGTTCCAATTTTAAACATTGTTGCAAACCTATCTGATACAGGTGCACATGTTTTTGTGAGTGTTGATCAATCATATCAAGGTATTCCTATTACAGTTTCTTCCAAACCTATTTCGAGTACTCATGTTTCTTTACCACCATTTATTATTCCTGCACACCCAATCTCATCTTCACCCACCTTTACTCAAATTCTCAATCAACGTTTCACTTCTCTATTTTCTTCCCAGTCTACTGATCCACCAAAATCAGTTGATGTTAATAACAACGATGATAGCGGATTTGGAGGAACGTTTGAGGAAGTTGAGTTTGACCCAAAAGAAGAAGACATTCCTGATCTCATGCTGATGTCAGGAAAACAATTTAAGATTCTGAACAAAAAACTCAATTCGATTATGCAATCCCAAGCAGATGCAAGGGGAAGCATTTCACTGTCTAGTATTGAAGTGGATGTGATGTTAAAAGCCCAATAAGCTCGATTGTTAAATACATTTTCTACTTTGCATTGTGCTTTTGAATCTCGAATCCTTGAGAAGGTGCATAGTATTGACAAGAACAATGAGCTTAGAATCAAATCTTAATCTTCAACTTTTAATGAAGAAGTCAGAGATTTTAGGAGGGTTGCTAAAGAAAGACATGCATTGTTTGTGCAAGATGTGCAAAAAGGTGACGGAGGATGTTAATCTAAAAATTTAGGAACTTCGTGAAGATATGCACAAAGAGATTTTTGTTGCACAACACGACTATGCATCTCTTAATCAAAAGATGGATAGTATTGTAGATGTAGTCATGAAATTTGTCAAACTGTATGAAGCTTTAAGTCCTAAAATCACTCAACTATCTTCTGATGATAGTAAAAGCTTCATGGAGGTCACCACTTTGCTGAATGAATTGAAAACATTAATCTCGGAGCCAAGCTCATCTCCTCTGATCACAACAGAATTTCTTTCTCAAAAGTTTCTGTTGTTTGAATCAATCCTTCACAAGCAGTTGGCACCCTTGTCCCAAATTATCAATCTTTTACCTTCGAATGCCCCTCCTGTTGTCACAGGGGTGCAAGGGGAAGAAAAGAAATTTCACGGTATTAATAAAATGAAAATATTGAGAAGGTTGTAACTACTACTGAAGTAATAAAAATTGTAACCACTGATGAAGTAACGAAAGTGGTTTCTACTCAAATCCCAACACAAATAGTTTCGAAAGTGTATACAACAGAAGCTATCAAGACAACAACAAGACCGTTCCTAAATGGAATTGCTATTGGTCTTTCTATTGATGGAGGAAGTTCAAGTTCTTCAAAACCAAATCCTTCAGAAGATGATGGAAAAGGGAAGGGGATCTTGGTTGAAAAATCTAAAGAAGAGAGGAAGCTCGAAATTGAAACAAAAATGGATAAACAAAGGCAAATTCAAAACATACTAAGACTTCGTGAAAATGATCCAGCTGGTATGGAGAAGAGAGATCCAAAGAAGTTGTCTAGTTATAAAAATATTAAAGCAAGAGTTGCTTTCAATCATTTGTATGCATTTGAGAAAAAGCCAAAGAAAAGCTATTCTATTACTAACACTGATATGAATCAAGTTGATTTTCCAATAAATAAAATGATGTTCATCATGGCTCAATACAAGATAATCGAGAATCTTGATAATGAAGATGCTTATATTCATATGAAACTTAGATTTGATGTTGTTGTTGGGAAAGAACCAGAGGAAATATGATCATTGGTGAAGATCAAGAAGGTGATCAGCATAACAAAAGATGTCTTGTTCAAAAATATGATACAAAATTTTTGGTATCATGTTGTAAGGGCGAACAATCAAGTTTGTGATTTCTCAGTTCCTGATTTTCCACGAATGAACTTGAATGACCTGATTCAAGGTCATTCTATAATGCACCGATTCTTAGGTATTGTCCAATTGTAGTTTCTTGGTTTGGCCCTACTCGACGAGTTGGTTTCCCTACTCGTCGAGTAGCAGCGAGATTGAATTGCAACTTAAGTGACTGACTCGGTGAGTCCATGAGTGGGACTCGGCGAGTAGGAGGTGGCAAAAGGAACCCTAAGTCACGGGTTCTACACTCTATTTAAGGAGGCTTAAGCCCCATTTGGCCTCCTTACAGTCAGATAGAACTTAAAGGAAAACCCTAACCAAGTATTTGTGCCATTAGTGCCTTGAAAGCTTGAAAGGAGAACTTGTGGAAGGAAGAACTCGGAGAAGAAAAGGACTAGAAGCAAGGGAGGAGTGAAATCCGAAATCTACCTCAACTAGCACTCATAGAAGGTACCAAGTCGACACCTTTATATGTTTTCCCTTCTAGATCTCATATAGTGGAAATCTAGGGTTTTTGAGGTGCAAGTAAGGTGATATTGCAAACATAAGCTAGATCTGAAGTTGTAACTTCAGATATGGACAATTCCCGAGTTCTAGATCCATAAAGTTCCTGTCTTGGACGTGAATGAGGCCATCCTTGTGCATGAAACCAATTGAGATCTTAGTTTTGGACATTAAGGACTTTTTTAGCCATGCATACACGTAAAGTTTGCAACTTTACGTGAAAGGCATGCCCTGGAAGCTTGGATCTAAGTTTTGGAGTTGTTGCATGGCTTAAAACGGATCTGTATGGCTTAAGGACTAAGGGAACTCAGCGAGTCGCAAGAACGACTCAGCGAGTCGGATGAATATAGTCGTGAATCGACGAGTTTCTAGAACAACTTGGCGAGTCCGATGAAGGTTGCCTTAGACTCGATGAGTCGCAAGAGCAACTCGGTGAGTCGGATGAGTTTCCTCCAAGTTTGGGATGCGTGTGTATCAACATATTGCTAGAAGAGAACACGGTGAGTGGCTCTAGGGCCTCAATCGAGAATCGTAGGAACTCGGTGAGTCACACTGGTGACTGGGCGAGTAGGTAAGAGTTTCAAGGAACTCGGCGAGCAACCGGGGGTACTCGACGAGTTAAGGTCAACATGGAATGTTGACCTTGACTAAGGACTTTGACCTTGATCAGGGTTAAATAGTTAGGTTATGGAGTACTCTATGAGGACAAAGATTTATGAGAATAATTGTATTATGGTAATAGGTGGTGGAGTCTTTGACAAGTGATCGGAGAGCTGTGATTACTTACCGAGCTGACATCTACAAGGTGAGTTATCCTCACTATACTAAGGGATCGAAGGCACCAAGGCCGGCCCATTGGATTTGATATCCTAGTAGTCATTGATATGCTGAGCTGAGTTAGTAATGTATGCCTGTTGATGTGCTAGTCGGGTAGATCTGTAGGATTGCCTGTGATATTGACTGATTACCTGTATGTGCATTTATCTATTACATGTCGACATGTTATGTGGGGTAAGTTGAGGTTGTACTACTCCGTGCGGTAGCCAACAAACCCGAGAGTGTTCCAGATATGAGTTGAGGGCTCAGTAGGCATTCCAGACTCATACTGAGGACCCGAGAGCATTCCAGGTACGAGCTGAGGGCCCGGTAGGCATTCCAGACTCGTATTGAGGGCTCGATCGCATTCCAGATACGAGCTGAGGGCCCGGTAGGCATTCCAGACTCATATTGAGGGCCCAGGAGTAGTCCAGCTTGTAAAGTTGTGGACCCATTGCATGTTGTTCTATCTTGATTGGTATGATATGCTAATGTTGATATTGCTATGTGAACTGTATGTGTATCGGTATTTTGGGGTAACTCACTAAGCTTTCGGGCTTACACTTTCAGTTTATTATTTCAGGTACATCTGGGGATCGCAGCAAGGCCAAGGCGTGATCGTACAGCTCCTCCTATTTTGTTAATTTTGGGGACAAGACTCTGATAAACAATGTTTTGAAAACAAAGTTGTAATATTTTGATGAACTTGATATGTTTTTAAAAGTTTAAATTTGTTTGAAAATTTGGATGTTACATGTTGGTATCAGAGCCTCGGGAAGGACACATGCTACAAATGTGGAGGTAAAGCCAAGTGGCCACATGCTACAAATGTGGAAGGCCAGCGCACTATGCCAATGAATGCACCCTCTCTAAGACAGTTTGCTATGGTTGTGGTGAGGAGGGACACATGTCGAGGGACTGCCCGAAGAAGAAGGAGGCAGCTAGACCCAACATTCTGCCAAAGCCGAAGGCGAGAGCATTCCAAATGACACTGGAAGCTGCTAAAGATGAAGCTGATGTCGCTTCAGGTACCTTTCTCGTAAACAAATTGTCTGCCCAAATTTTATTTGACTCTGGAGCCAACTACTCCTTTATTTCGTATGAATTTGGTAGAAAACTAGCTTTGCCTGTTGATAGACTGGATAATGCCTTATTAGTCGAACTTACTAGTGGCAAGTTTGTACCTGTTAGCCATCATATGAAAAACATCTTAATTGACTTGAATGGGAATAAATTCCACGAGGAATTATTGCCTATTGAACTAAACGGTTTTGACATCGTACTTGGAATGGATTGGCTTAGTGCCAATGACGCCGAGATATTGTGCAAGAAGAAGATAATCAAAGTAAACCTGAATGGGAAGGAATCATTTATGTTGTATGGAGATAAACCCAGAGTAAATTCTAGAATCATTTCTCTAATGAAAGCCAGAAAATGTTTGACCAAGGGGTGTACATCATACTTAGCATTCGTGATCGATGCTAAGAAGGAGAAAAAGGCGATGCAAAGCATTCATGTCGTATGTGATTATCCGGAAGTATTTCCCAAAGATCTTCCCGGATTACCGCCTGATAGACAAGTGGAGTTTATAATAGACTTGTTACCAGGGACGATGCCAATAGCAAAAGCACCCTATCGATTAGCACCCGGAGATGAAGGAGCTGATGATGCAACTTCAGGAGTTATTGGACAAAGGTTTCATTAGACCTAGTTCATCACCCTGGGGAGCCCCGGTGTTATTCGTGAAGAAGAAAGATGGAAGTATGAGAATGTGCATCGATTATAGAGAGATGAATAAGGCAACGATAAGGAATAGATATCCGTTGCTGAGGATTGATGACCTGTTCGATCAACTTCAAGGATCGAGCTATTTCTCGAAGATCGATCCTAGGTCAGGATACCATCAGCTAAAAGTAAGAGAGCAGGATATAGAGAAGACTGCATTCAGAATGCGTTATGGACATTACGAGTTCTTGGTTATGTCCTTTGGACTGACCAATGCTCCAGCAGCATTCATGGATTTAATGAACAGGGTTTGTAATCCGTTCCTAGATAAATTTGTGATAGTGTTAATAGATGACATTCTGATTTATTCGAAAAGCCAAGAGGAGCATGGCAGACACTTGCGAGAAGTGTTAGAAGTCTTGGAGAAGGAGAAGTTGTATGTAAAGTTCTTCAAATGTTATTTTTGGATTCGAGAAGTCCAATTCTTGGGTCACGTGGTCAACCAAGAAGGGATAATGGTTGATCCAGCGAAGATTGAATCTGTGATGAAGTGGGAACAACCGAAAAGTCCCTCGGAGATCCGAAGCTTTTTGGGATTAGCCGGATATTACTGAAGGTTTATCCAAGGCTTTTCTTCGATCGCTAGTCCATTAACAGCTTTGACCCACAAAGGAGCTACTTATGCTTGGAGTGATATGCATAAAGAAGCGTTCGAGAGGCTAAAGAAGAAACTATGCGAGGCACCAATACTTTCTCTACCCGATGGGGTTGAAGACTTCGTTGTTTATAGCGATGCGTCTGGTATTGGATTGGGTTGTGTTTTGACCCAAAGAGATAAGGTGATCGCATATGCATCTCAACAATTGAAAGAGCATGAAAGGAACTACCTGACTCATGATTTGGAGTTGGCAGTGGTAGTTTTTGCTCTGAAAATATGGTGGCATTACCTCTATGGCACGAAGTGAAAACTTTTCACTGATCATAAGAGTCTCCAATATCTCTTCGGTCAGAAGGAATTGAATATGAGCCAACGACGCTGGCTAGAATTGCTTAAGGACTACGACTGTGAGATACTTTACCACCCTGGAAAAGCAAATGTTGTTGTTGATGCCCTCAATCGGCAAGTCAATCTTGAAAGAAAAAGGCCAAGAGCGTTGAGAATTGAAGTTGTCTCGACCATTGTGGAAAGTATAAAGAAAGCTCAAGAGGAAGCTTCTGAGAAGAATGACCGAAAGGAGGAACGTTTGGGCAAAACGTTGGTGTTCGGTATAAACAGTCATGGACTGAAGGTGTTCCAAGATTGGATTTGGATACCTAAGATAGGAGTAAGAGATCTTCTGATGGAAGAAGCTCACAAGACCATGTACTCAATTTATCCCGGTAGCACTAGAATGTATAAGGACCTAAAACCCTACTACTGGTGGCCAACGATGAAGCTTGATGTTGCAAAGTATGTGGCTGAGTGTGTGACCTGTGCAAGAGTCCAGACACAGCATCAGAAACCGTACGGGAGTTTAGAACCATTGCTTGTGCCTATGGGTAAGTGGGAAGATATTGCTATGGATTTTGTCACTAAACTGCCCAGTACAAAGAATGGCCACAACATGATTTGGGTGGTCGTTGATCGATTCACTAAGAGTGCGCATTTCATAGCAGCCAAGGAGAAATGGTCTATGGAGAAGCTTGCGAATTCTTATGTGAAGGAAATTGTGACACTTCACGGTGTTCCGCTAACGATTGTGTCGGATCGTGATAGTCGTTTCACCTCAAGATTTTGGAAAAGTCTACAAGAGGAATTGGGTACGAAGTTGTGTTTAAGTACAACTTACCATCCGCAGACTGTT